TGTTTCCTCTGTCAAGTAACCCCACATCCATCTGAAGAGGTATCATTATCACCTCTCAGCTTGTCCTCTGCCTTAGGTATCCTGTTTTCCCTGACAGCTTACGAGGAAACACCATTGGAGTGGCTGGTGCCAAAGCCCTGGCCAATGCTCTGAAGGTAAACTCAAGTCTCCAAAGACTCAAGTAAGTGGCTGTAGAGACCCACCTGCGTCCTAGAGCTGTAACCTTCTTTTCTTCTGGATTGTCCCCCATGGGATAAGAGGTTCCTGATTTCCTCCATAGCTGCTTCCTTCTAATATAAATAATTCAGACTGTTCTGATTATTATATTCCATGTCCCATTGCAGCTGGGTTTGTTCATTCTGCTCAGCTTAAGTCAGAAATAAGTCACTTAACATCTGCACTTACGGTCGTCCATCCTCCTCAGCACGTGGTTGGGACAACCTGGCTCCCTGTACACACCAGTCTCAGGGGCAAATGCCATCTAGTGGTTGCTATGATACCTGTGGACAAGTCGACCCAGAGTGGTGGTGGTGCTTCCTCTCTAATGCCCCCCAAGACGATGCGGTGTTGCTTCCTGGGGTGTTTTCCTCTGTCCTGATGGGTCACCGTGGTGTCTCCATCTTTTTTCTGCCAGTCTTCAAGAGAATTCCTTGGGGATGGATGGAGCAATCTGCATTGCCACTGCACTGTCTGGAAACCATGGGCTCCAGCACATCAAGTGAGTGAGGCCAGGCAGCACCTGCCCTTTCCCTAGCCCTGCTCACCCTACAGCTGCTCCTGGGTCAGGCCCCACCTCTCACCCAATCCTGGGAGCCAGCTGATCCTCAGGTCCCTCAGCAGCTCTACAAGGAAACTCGGTCTGAGAGGGCACCATCCTGAGCCTGGTCCATGGGAGGGATCCTAGAAGCACAAACGTTTTGTGAAGAGTTCTGCCTTTTCCATAGGGACAGTCCACTCTACTAAAAGGAGCCTGTAGGTTTCCAGCCTGCTCTAACCCTTCTCTTCAGTCTCCAGGGAAATCACATTGGGGAATCTGGCGCCAGGATGATCTCAGAGGCTATCAAGACAAACGCTCCCACATGCACTGTTGAAATGTGAGCAGAACTAGCTCCTGGAGGACCAGTTGGAAGCTCAGCAGGAGGCTTTCCAGCAGAAAGACCGGTTTCCGATGTGCCTTCCTGCCACTTGGGAGTGACGCTGACCCAGCACGAGAGCTGGTCTACTGCAAAGGGAGGAAAGACGCTACCAGAGGAGGCTACAAGCACCTCTCCTGATCCAGGATCGGTCCAGGCAGGGGCAGATGGATCCTTTGCTATGGCACAGAGAAAGGAAGGGGCTGTCACCAACGGACTTGGGACAAAGGCCCATAAGCTCAGCAATGTAAGAAGCTGGTCCTAGCTTATTTATACCGAGGTCTTCGTATGCCCTAACTTTTAAAAAATTTTATTACTGCCCTATTCCACTCTCCTGGTTAAAACTGTCCCTCACTCTGGAATGAGTTGCCATCTTCAAGCCCATTACAAACATCCATTTGGCAGGGGTGACAGAGAGGACCTTTCTTTTCTCAAGAAGGAAAGGTTTTAGGGGTATGATCCTTACAGACATACAGAAAAATTATGGGACAATTGTGAAGATCAATGAAAACTTTAATTCTAGGGTTCTGGAGACAGAAAGTTCTCTAAGAGTTTTACCACTTTTTATTCATTACAAAATCTCTTGAAGACACGGACGATATTTGCCACATGTCCTGTGGAATCTGGCACACTGGTTATCAATGGCATATGAACTGCTGATGTCTTAATAATGGTACTCTGTGTTAGGCTTCCAAAACCACTACTGTAGTTACAGCTTCCCTATGAAGACAAGAAGCTGAGTTTCCACATGGCATAAATTCCCTCAGTGGTCTGGTTGTTGAAAGGAAAAAAAAAAAAAAAAAATCCAAATGGATACCACAGCTCTCATCAACTAAATAACCAAGAAAAATGCTCATGAAGACTATAAAGTGATTATCACTTTTAAATTTGAAAATTCACAATGTTTCTTTTAAAATGTGTATTCAGACAAGAATATCTGGATGCTAAAACCATGGATGAAAGCCTGTCGGGGAAGAAGATATCCAGTCTCAAATTATTATCCCACAAAGGCAAATGTAATATCCCTATTTACAAAGGGAAAAAAGTAAGGTAACCCAAAATCTGGCAAATGCTGACTTAACAAAAGTGATTAAATGTAACATCACCAATAATGGGACAAATGGACACCATGTACCCCTGATGTGATGCGCTGAGGACACATCACTGATGTAGTATGTGTGCCAGAAATGTTCACCTGATTCTAATCAAGAGGAAAAATGAGACAAAATCCATACTGAGGGACATTCTGCAAAACAACTGGCCTGACCCCTTCAAAAATGTCAATGTCATGAAAAACATAAAAGACTGAGGACTGTTTTAAATGAAAAGACATTAAAGAGACATAACAACTTAATGAAAGATCTTAGATTGGACCCTAGACTGGAGGAGAAACTCAGCTATAAAGAACATTATTTGTAAACTAGGGACATTTGAACATGACCTTGTAGTATTTATTATGTTTTTTCTGAAAGACATTTTTGCTGGGTATAGAATTCTGGATTAATAGTTTTTTCTTCAGCACTTTCAGGATGTTGCTCTACTGCCTTTCTGGTTTGCACTGATTCTGCCTGAGGCGAGAGCTGGGCAGAACAAAGAGAGAAGTGCAGTAGCTGAATGATGGAGAAAGCTGTGCCCTGCACAAACCTAACCCTGAAGAAACTGCAGGGGCCAAGGCAGTGGAGAAAAAGAGAGTCCTCCCTCTGTCTTCAAAAAATGATCACATACCTTCAAGCTATCTGAAATGGTTGAGGGATTCAGATGATGGTCATGGACACACCAAAGCCAGCTGGCCCACACAGACTCCATCAGAGTGCAAGACAAAAGAGAATTTAATTCATATCCACGTACAAGGGACTTCTGTTCTAGGTAGGAGGTCGAACTTTTAGGTCTGTTTCAATTTAACAAGTTCTCGAATCTAGCACCTGAGTGTCCCTGGGTCCATCTAACAGCTGTGATATTATGTAATGTGTTGCTAACCTAAATAGACATGCCTTCCTTCCTTACTTCCCCACCGCCCCCACCAGACTGGCTGGTAAGGGGATCTGAACCCTTGACCTTGGTGTTATCAACACTGTGCTCTAACCAACTGAGCTAACTAGCCATCCCCACTTCCAGACATTTGACACTGATATTAATTTAAAATGCTAAAAAAAGAGATCTTGTCTTGTCCTAGCTAAAATGGAAACAGTTCTTCAGATTCCCCATTGAAGTCCTTGGACTTTGTTCTTGGTAGGCTACCACCAATAAAAATTGAGGACCTGAAAAATTGTTTGTATTTTCTGTCCATAAACATATTTTTAAGCATTTTAAGAGGCTCTTTAATTATATAGTAAAAAACTGTCAGCAATTTATACCAAATTTATTTTATAAAATAAATTTATAATAAATAAATGCTAGTTTTTCATTGACCTAATTATATGATCTTTAGGGCCTGAGGTCTGTTCTTCTGCTTGGCTGAAACCAAATGCTGCCAGGTAGTAAGGCATTTGCACGTTTGACTCCTGGATCTGTTACAATGATGGAAACACATTAATAATAGTTACGGAGTATATGACACTCCTTGTTGACAGAAACCACTCAAGTAAGGAAGTGCTGTACAGTGGTGAGACTGCACAGTCAATTAACCAACAAATAAAAGATGATCAAGAAGTAGGTGAAACAATGAAATACCCTTTGCAGCTGTTGCCTACAGCTATGGATATGTTACTTGTAGCTCAGGTTGGATTTCTGTGTTGAAGCCCACTAGAAGAAAGCATCACATGAGAAAAGCAGAACTTTATTTATATGTCTTTTCAAAATATAAGCCTGGTTTAGGCAAACCAAATTTGTAACATCCAAGATGACACAGTGACTCTCCTGCATGCTAGAAGCCCTGGCATCTGAGTGGTGACAGGGTTCCCAACACACTGATTTCCCTTCCAGATTCTTGTTCGCAGTATGGCACATCTCAAATTACTAGTGAATGAACTGAATGTTGAGTGTTTAAAAAAAAGGGTAGGGCCGGCCCATGGCTCACTTAGGAGAGTGTGGTGCTGATAACACCAAGGTGACAGGTTCAGATCCCTATATAGGGATGGCCGGTCAGCTCACTTGAGAGAGCATGGTGCTGACAACACCAAGTCAAGGGTTCAGATCCCCTTACTGGTCATCTTTTATTTTTTATTTATTTTTTTGACCAGTAAGGGGATTGCAACCCCCAGCCTGGTGTGGTCCGTACCACGTTCAACCAGTGAGCGCACTGGCCATCCCTATATAGGATCCGAATCCGCGGCCTCAGCGCTACTAGTGCCGCACTCTCCCGAGTGAGCCACAGGGCCAGCCCACAGTCATCTTTTAAAAAAATAATAAATTAAAAAAAAAAAAATTTTTAAAAAGGGTAACCTCATACATAAAATTTAGGAAAGGAGGGACAGAAAAGCAAAGATGACAGAAATAACTGTCCTACAGTCTCCTGAAATTTACATGTATCATATTAACCTGTGAACTTTTCTTGAATAAGTATTTATATGTTATGGGTGCAAATAAGCAAAATAATTATACTTTCAAGTGGGGCCGGCCCGGTGGTGCACTGCTACAGTGCGCCGCTTGGGAGTGCGGCGGCGCTCCCGCTGAGGGTTCAGATCCCACATACAGACCGGCCGCTCACTGGCTGAGCGAGGTGCGGGCGCAACACCGAGGGTTGTGGCCGCCGATGTCCAAGCTTTCAGGCCAACAAGGGAGACTTAACGGCATAACTTCGTATAGCATACATTATACGAAGTTATACAGACCGGCCGCTCACTGGCTGAGCGAGGTGCGGGCGCAACACCGAGGGTTGTGATCCCGTTGCTGGTCATGAAAAAAGACAAAAATGGAAAAAAAAAAAAATTATACTTTCAAGTAAACCTTATTTAATAACATAAAAACACGGTATTAAATACACTTATTAAAAGATGAGTAACTTTGGGGGGGAGGGGAGAGAGGGAAGCAGGAAAGAGGAATGGGTAAAGGGATACAAAAATCAACTACAATGTATGCTGAGAAGTTAAAATTAAAAAAAAATTTTTGTGTGTGAGAATTACAAGATGAGGCATATGATGTTGTTAGCACAGTATCTAGCCTTCATAAACACAATAAATGCTAAAAAAAAAAATAAACCCAAAAAACCATGATGAGTAACTTCAGAAGTCTTCTGACTTTGTAAAATAAATGAAAACTGCTCTATGCTTTTTACATTAAAAAAAAAATGAAAGCCCCATCTCCACCTGTCTGCCCCTTCTCATTCCATAGCCAGGACACTCTTCCAGTGCTGCTCTACCTAATTTAACTCTGGTTCTGTTAAAAATCGGAAAAGTGAACCTGTATGGACACTTTTTCCTTCATTGGCTCCTTCCCCCAGGAGACACTCTGGTGGTGAAATGCAGGAGACCCACCTTCGTCCCTGTGTGGTGGCCTCATGTCTCGCCACACTTTAGACAACATGCTCCTTTAGAGAAATGCCACCTGGCAGGAAGAGCATGTTCCAGCCATCACTGTCCCACAAGTTTGGAATCTCTAAAGGGGAAACCAGGGTCAACAGAGTTTCAAACTCAGTATAAGCCATGGAAATGTGCAGGTGGCTCTAATTGAAGGTGAATCTCCCAGAGGAGGGCCAGCCTTCTGAGAGGGAATGGAGTAGTAGACATAACCTGGAGCCTCTCTGTTGCCTGATTTTCAAGGAAAGCTGGTTTTCATGTAACATCTTTCTAAAAATGTTAGTTATTAAATTATTAAATGCTTGGTATTGTGAGCATGCAGAAGAAAATAAGACTTTAAAATGACAAAAAAGGCTGGATCAAAAGCCAATGTATAGTAAATGTCCTAAGCTGTGCAAGTGACTACCAGCCAGATGTTCCCCTCCAAGTCCAGCCCTGTGCTGAGTCCCAGCGCCAGGTCTGCTCGACTCTTAGAGGACTGCATAGTAACAATAGCCAAGACTTACACAGTGTCAGCTCTTATTTCTCTGTGGGTTTTTGTCCCATGGATGTGAATTACTAAAAACACATGCACCTCTCAAGTTTAGGAGACAAATAAGGGGAAAAAAAATCATTTTGAGGGTTTTCTCTGGTTCTTATTTAAGCTTTGTGGAACACAAGTATAGGACGCTGAAGCAGAAGTAAGTATTGCTCCAGGAACAATGAGTCCAGCTGGCTTAGTGAACAAAATATACATCGCCTTCCTAACCTTCTAACTGCACGTTTACCTACAAATCTGAGGGTTTTAACCCGCCTGGCCCCTTGGCAAGAGGGTCAGAAGTCATTGTCGCTCTCATCCAAGGGCTCAGGTTTCCGGACCCTTCGGCTGGGCTTAGCCGGCGAGAGAGCAATGCTCTCATCTTCCAGATCGTCGTCGTCATCTTCCTCATCATCCACGTCCATCTCACTGTCCTCCGAGTCATCCTAGAGGGAAAGACAGCAAGTGCACAGGCTGCTTCATTACAACATCGTGCCCGGAGAGATCCCGCCTCACTTTTTTCCAGCAGCTCAAAGGGTAAGAGTGCAGTGACTAGCAGCGCCCCACATGAAGCAAAAGCATGGCAGAGACGTAGTCAGGCGGCGGGGGCATCGGAACGCGACCAGCGTCTACCTGCTGCTGCAGGAACACATGCGTGAGATTTCTCATCTAACCAGTACCCTTCACACACCAGCGTGCACCCGAGCTCGGCGCTGCAGGGGCTCACCTGCCCACTGAGTCTCAGGAGTGCTTGATCTGCACTGAAGGCCACCGGAAGCTGTTTTGCTCCTGGGGGCCAAGAGACCCCCCACTGGACAGCTAGGAGGACACAGGCTTGGGGAGAGGGAAGGGAGGCCTGTTTTGGCTTTTTCCAGATTGGAGCTGGAAAGCAGACAGGCAGCAAGGGGCAAAGGAAAGACACCCTCTCCCTCACCATCCAGATCCAGGCTGACCTGCTCAGCCTGACTTCCAAACCACAAGTCCTGTGAGCCAGGATGGCTGGCCACCCTGTCCAGATCATTCCTACCAGCATACACACATGACTTACATGGCACCAGCTCTTTAAAAAGCAAAAAAACACAACTTAATCCCACTGTCCTCTCCAGCAACTCTGCCTGGTGTCTCTGTTCTTCTCAGAGCAGAACTGAGCGAACTGTGAGCTCACTCACGGTCCCCGCCTGCCCCTCTCACTACTTGTTAAGCACAAGCCACTCAGGCGCTCACCCCACGAACCCGGAGACCACTCTTATCAAGACTGCAGCATTCAATGGACGCAAATCTAATAGGCAATCCGCAGTCCGCCTCTCACTTGACCCAAGGGCTGCCCTGGACACAGTATCACCCCTTCTCCCTTAAATCCACCCTCTCCGTCCTTCCGGCACCCTTCTCTCCCCTTCCCTCATGTGCAGCGCAGCCTCCTTGCCTGACCCTGCAATGCAGGGGTACTGCGGGACCCTGGGCTTCCCCTTCTCCTCCTTCTCTCTGCCCCTCAGCAATCACATCCCTGTCATGACTCAAATACCATCTGATATGGGTGGCTCACAACATTCCACCTTCAGTCCAGACCTGTCCCTGAACTCTAGACTAGAATTTCAACTGGCCATTCACCACCGGCACATGGACGTCTAACATGCAGCTCACACTTGGCATGTCCAAAACCACAATCCTGACCTGTTCTGCCCACACGCCTTCTCCAACTCGGCCCCATCTCAGGAAATGGAAACTCTTAAGCTTTTGGTTGATCAGACCACAATGGAAGTATCCTGCACTTCTCTTTCTCTAACACTCCATGTCCAATCCATTAACAACACCTGATGGTTCTGACCTCAGAAACATCCAGACTTGACCACTTCTCAACACCTCCACTGCCACCACCTGAGGCTCAGCCACCTCACCTCTGGCCTACATGCCTGTAACTGGTTCCTTTCAAACATGAGCCAGCTCTTGGCACCCCAGGCTCATGATTTGCCACCGCCTGCTCCTCGCGCTCAGGGAAGATGCTGAGTCCTCATCACATCCTGCGGGCCTCTGCATCGCCCCCACTGCCTCTCTCACCCCCGGTTCACTCTGCCCCATCACCCTGCCACCTCTGCGCCCCGCCTGCAGAACCACAGTCCCTGTGCCCCAGTGCCCCTCTCCATACCCATGAGGCTCAGTGCCTCCTCTCGCTCAGGCCTCTGCCCAAATGTCACCACATCAGAGAGACCTTCCCTAGGCACACAGGAGACATCACTCCCTGTCCCTGTCACTCCCTGTCCCCTGAACCTGCTTTATGTCCCTTCCTAACACTGAGGATGCTGACATACTTGCTCAGTTGTTACTGCAAGAATGTAAGCGTGTGAGGGCCCTGGGCTCTGCGCCTAGCCCCCTCTGTATTCGCCATGGCACGTGACAGGCACTCGACAGGTATATGTTATGTGACTGAGCCAGCACTCGAAGGATGAAACACTGTGCTCGGGGATGCATGGACACAGCCTCCTTGAAATAAACAGGTGACAAAAAGGCATGGAGAAGATCTAACCTACAACTGAGGCATTCGTTCTGAGGAGAGGCCAGACAGTGCTTTCCAGGCACCACCCTCTGCCAAGCCAGGCTCTCCCTATTCCTGTCTTGGACAGACAAGATGGACGCATAGAAGCTATGTAACTGGCTGTGCCCTATTTTGCTAAAACAATGTATTTTTGAGGTTGTTTTTCTACTTCTCTACACACGACCTCCTATGAATTCAAGTTCGATTTCTCTGTGCACCCTGTCCAGCAAGCCTGACCTCCCCCTCCCATGAATTCCTGTAACAGTGTCCACTCTGTTCGTTAGTTGAGTCTTTGTACAAGAATGTGAGGACACACTTCTGTTTCTGTGCGGCCACTAGGGCTGTGCTCCAGAAATGGGTGGCATCTACCCAATGGGGAGGGTCGGTGATGGATGTCAGTCACGTGGGTCAGGCAGCACTGCCGGGACTGCAACGAAGAACCAAGGCCCAAGTGATGAATGGTGCAGACCCAACGGCTCAACACAGCCGAGGACCCCTGGCACCCCCCTCCTGGTTAAGTTCTCCAGTTAGTCATCCATTCAGCAAAGCTCAAGGCGCCAGCAGCCTGGCGTGTCAGCCTCTCTGAGGCCCTGGTCTGGGGAGAGCATCGTTCCCACGTTCCTTCCCCAGAATGGAGCTGAAGAGGGGGCTGGTCCTGACCCTCTCAGCATTAGCCCTTCAAGTCTAGGTTATGGTTCGAGGGCCTGATGACTCCCCAGCCCCAACCTTTCTTGTCTCTTGGCTCAGGGCTGGCCCCTGTCCTTAGCATGGGGACCTTTAGGTGATTCCACTCTCACTGCAGGATCCATCTTGCCTGGGAGAGAGGAAGCACGACTCTGGGAAGAGGCCATCTGCTGGCCCTGAGCAGGCCGACACACACTAACAAACACACAAGGAAAAAAACCCCAAACCAACCTGCTTCTTGGAGCTGGAAGTCATGTATTTACCTAAGAGAGCTGGTGCTGCTTCCATCTTTGGAAAGCAAGAACGGAAAGAAGAGTAAGCAGGCGGAAAAGTAGGGTGAGCACATTCATTTGAGAAGAAACAAGCCATCAACAAGCAGAGGAGAGCACCCAGCTCCTCAGGAAGCCAAACTCCACAGATTGGAGCTGCAGGCCGGGCTGTGAGCAGGCACTCCCGGCTGTGGCCCCGCGGCTAATCTTAGTCTACGAGCACCAGCCCAGGACCAGAAAGCACAGATGTGCGAGGGGAGCTGGACGAGACTCACATCGTCATCGGAGTCTCCACCCTGCATAGTGCCCACGACGCGCTTGCTGGGTCTTCCTAAGAACAAAAGAATGAAGAAAGCATGAAAACCTTGGAAAACAGGGCAAGGAATGGCATTTAAGATTTTCTTTCCCTTAGAAAACTGGGAGAAAGAAGAAAAATCATACTTAAAATATACTCAAGTAGCATCCAACTCATCAAAACTGTCAATAAACAGAAATGGATTTTCTGCATTTCTACTTCAGAAAAAAATGGAAAACGGCATTAAAATATAAGCACAAATCATGAGTTTAGAAAAATAAACACACGCCTTTAACTGTTTTGAACTGGTATGCTATCTGTTGAAAAAGAAATAAATTCTCCCTTTATAAACTAATGTCACTTGTACTTGGATCTATGCCTAAGCTTCAAAAAAGAAAAAAATTTTTTTTAATATTAAGTATCACAATTAGTTTATCTTTCAAATGCCAGCATTATCTAACGGTTTCTCCATTCCTCCTTTGGAAGTCAATATTGTCTAGGTATGACTTCTACAAAAACTCTGGAGCTGTCCTTTACCAGGGGTAGGAGGTTGGGGGCAGCTGGACTCGCACCCTTAGGTGGAAAAAGGAATGACTGTGACCCTGGGCCAGGCCTCATGAGAAAGGCGGCATGGAGAGGGGCCCACTCAGGACAGATCTTTTCAGAAACTTTCCCATGGTCAGACAAAATGCAAAATCTTGTGTTATTTAAAGCTGTTACTTATAGTTTTTGAGAATGGATTGTGTGATTTCACTCTGCAGGCTAAGTGGTCTGCAGAATTTAGAGGAACTGGTACCTTTACCAGGTTATACTATAAGCCAATCACACACCTTTTTACAGACTTGGCTCCCATCCATCCAGTGGAAATCAAATTGCTAACCTCTATTTATGTCATGAAGCTTAAAAAATAAAAATGAAGAAAAAGGACATCAGGACATGTAATTATCCTATGAAAAAAGTGGAATGTAATAAATGAAGATAGCTGAGCCTAGAATAAGAGAAAGCAGTGAACAACAAAAGTTAACATAAAATGATGAAAGGAAGATGCCTTTACCCCTTAAATTTATTATGTATGTAAAAAATGCAACTGTGCTCAAAACATTAATAGGTGGTAGATAAAAAAATGTTTTTAAAGGCAAATATAGTGCAATTTAGTGGTAACTGTCAAAACAAAAATTTACAGAAACTGTAAGAATTCCACTTTTAATGATGCAAACTAAAGAAATACTTGCAGATATGCAGAAAGATGTATATGCAAGGAAAAAGGTGGAAATAAATCCCTATCAATACAAGAATGCTCAAGTAAATTATGGGTACAGTCATGCTGTGGAATATAATGTAGCCATTAAAGAGAAAGAAGCAGATCTACATTTTACTGACAGGGGAAGAGTTGTAATAGATTTAATTTTAAAAAACAAAAACAAGTTGCAGAACCATACATACGAGGGTACTTCAAGAAGTTCATCAATTCAGGGAAACCAAAGACAGAAAGAAAACACAAAGCTCATGGAAAAATAGAATTGAAAGATAATATGAATTGTTCCATGAACTTTGGGACTATCTGGTCCTGTTTAGGTTAAAAAATTTTCAGGTGATCTTTGTATCTATGTTTGGTTGTGTGTGTGTATATATGAATGTGTGTGCATGTGTGGACACGTATGTGGATGCGTGAACAGGCAATTTGTAGGGACATGCCCTGCAGCCACTAGCCATGACCCCTTTAGGGTAGGAGTGGGACATGAGGAAGACCCCAGGGAGCATCCACATTTGCTCCACCAATTTTGCTGCTCGAATCTTTTGCAAGGAGAAAAAAATTAGAAAAACATTTTTTTTTTTTTGTCTTTTCGTGACCGGCAACGGATCGCAACCCTCAGTGTCGTGCCCGTACCGGACCGGGACCGGCAACGGGATCGCAACCCTCGGTGTTGCACCTGCACCTCGCTCAGCCAGTGAGTGGCCGCCGGTCTGTATGTGGGATCCGAACCCTCGGCGGGAGCGCCACCACACTCCCAAGCGGCACACTGTAGCAGTGCGCCACTAGGCCGGCCCAGAAAAACATTTTTTAAAGGCAGAGATGTTCACGTTAAGTCCTTCCTCACGCATTAACCTCAGGCCATGAGGACTGCATTGCATCGAGAGCAGTTTAGGACCCAGGAGAGCAGCATATAGCTCAGTGCCAGAGGCAGTAATGTTTCTGTGGCCACTGTGAGAAATACCAAGCCACAAATATGAACCGGCTGTTCTCAGGACCACCAGGAAGAGTATCAGTGGTAAGACGACCGCTGAGCAGTTTGAAATCCACATCCTGATAAACAACAGGGCAGGATAAACACGGTGCAGGAACTGCTTCCTGGTGACACTCACAGTGCACTGTGGCCCTCAGGGCGAGGCAGTCCTGGCCTAATCTTGGCTGTGGTGCTCTGTGAAATGGCACAGGGAGGAGGGCGAGCGGGAGAAGCCACAGTACCTTGCATGAGCACCTCCATGGCCGTCCGCGGCTTGGCTGGCCGTCTCTCTTCCAATTCACTGTCGGATTCGTCGTCCTCCTGGATGTCTATGTCCGAGTCATCATTACCTAGCAGGCACAGAAGCGGGCAACACAAAAGAGTGGCTCTGTCATTACAACTTAAACAGCTTCTGTCCAGTGAAGCTCATGTGCAAGAGTCACCTGCATTCAGCCTTTTTTTCGATGCATTAGACTTTATGAGACTCTCTGGATTTGCCTGTGGATACTTGGTGCAGACTTGATGCAGACAATGACGTGCTGTGGTTTTTCAAAACAATTTTCGAAAGCAAGAAAAAAGTGGATCAGATATATTAGTTAGAAACACTATCAGAGTCTGTGAAATTTTTAAAATCAAATAACCAGCTGTCAAGGTGGCTAAAGTTCTTGGTCAGTTGGGGGAAAAACCATTTTCTGTTCAATTTTAGGTTGGGTTACCAGAACACAAGATCCTTGGCCATAATAAAGATGAGTGGGGAGCTCCCTGGAAAGGTAAAACAAGCCCATGACAAAACAAGACTGGAGGCAAGCAGGAGGCCAGGCCAGGGATGGCATGAGCCAGGCTGTCCTGAGAAGGACAGTGATGTAGCAACTGACAATGAAAATGGGTGATAATCTTCACTGGGGGGAAATTCCATTACAAAGATAGATTTTTAACAGGTCATTGCCAATGCAATCACTTCTTATATTAATTTCTTTGTGCCTGTAAGTTGAACATTTTCTAAAGGGAACCTAGAAAGAGAGAAGGGGAGTTTCCACAGTAGGAAGAAGCAGCTTTCACTGCCTGCACCTGACTTCTCTGCACCCAGGAGCCATGCCGGTTTTGGAAGGACAGAATTGGATGAGTTTGCTGTTCTGATTACTGACTCAGAAGTTAGTTTGGAAGTATAATAATTGTTAGTTTACTAAAAGGCTTTGCTCCACCCCTGCTATAGGAAGGTAGTGAGATGGTAACAGAGTCTAGCTGGGCACTGAGGGAAGGTTTTCTGCTCTCTTTAGTCATGGAGAGAAGAGCTGTGCTCTGCGGTAGAGAGGCAAACCTGGGAGGTGGAGAAAGTGTCAGTAATTACATCCCTCAAGGTCTTCCACATAACTAAGTGGAAAGCTAACACCTTCTAAAAGTCTTTACAGAAAATATGATTAAATATTAACATAAATTAATGACTATAAAATAAAATCACTATTCATCTTAGTTCACTTTTTACTTCATCTAGGAAAATTATGACATTAAATCCTTATCCCATGAAATGCAAATCAAATGAAATTATGAATTTTAAAATAAAATACATGCATCTTGGGCTCGATAGTATTTCTTCTGACAACTCAAAGCAATACAGACTGAGAACTGAACAGGTAAACTAAAATTAATTGTTATGGTTTGAACGTGTCCCCCAAAAAGCATGTGCTGAAAACTTAATCCTTAATGCAAGAGTGCTGGGAGGTGGGGCCTAATGGCAGGTGTTTAGGTCCTGAGGGCTCCACCCTCATGAATTCATTAATGCTGACTGGAAGAGGTTCGGAGGCTGCAGGTTCTGTCTCTGGTTCCCTCTCACCTATTCTTGGCCCTTCCTCCACGGGATGGTGTATCAAGAAGTCCCTCACCAGATGCCAGCCCCTTGATCAAGGACTTGCCAGCCTCCAGAACCATGAGCCAATACATTTCTGTTCATTGTAAATTATCCAGTCTTGGATATTCAGTGATAGCAGCACAAAATGGACTAAGATATGCATGCTGACACTGAACTCACTGAGTTGTCAGGGACGTGTTGAAATTAAGAATGGCTGACAAAGGTGCTGGTATGACACAATGGGGAAAGAACAGTCTTCTCGACAAATGGTGCTGGTACAACTGGACAGCCTCATGTAAAAGAAACGAAGTTGGACCCCTCCCTCACACCACGTACAAAAATTAACTCAAAACGGATCAGAGACCTAAATGTAAGAGCTAAAACTATAAGACTCCTAACAGAAAACATAGGGGTTAATCTTGATGACCTTGAATTAGGCAACGGTTTCTTTTATTTTTTTTTGTCTTTTTTTTTTTTTTACTGACCGGTAACGGGATCGCAACCCTCGGTGTCGCGCCCGTACCGGGGACCGGCAACGGGATCGCAACCCTCGGTGTCACGCCCGCACCGTGCTCAGCCAGTGAGCGGGAACCGGTCTCCACATGGGATCCGAACCCTTGGCGGGAACGTCGCCACACTCGCAAGCGGCACACTCTCCAGTGCGCCTCCGGGCCGGCCCTAGGCAACGGTTTCTTAGATATGACACAAGTACAAGCAACAAAAGAAAAAACAGATAAACTAGACTTCATTAAAACTTTGTGCAGCAAAGGATCTCACCAAGACAGTGAAGAAGCATCCCACAGAATGGGAGAAAATATTTGCAAATCACAAATCACATATGGGTCTATTATCCAGAATACATAAAGAACGTTCATAACTCAATAAAAAGATAACTCAATTTAAATATGGGCAAAGGCTTTTTCATGCAGATCGTAGTTTAAGCCCTAACCAAGATTTAAAAACCCAAATTTATATAAGCTGAAAGCAATTGGTTGTATGTCCCCCACAATAGCTTTTAGCTGTTTGTTCTTTGCTGCTATCTCTGTTGTTTGTTCAGGAGAACGTCTATTGGAGAAATTACTTTCCTTTGGGAAAATCTGTTGTAATGAAAGAAATGAAATATGTTCTGGATTCTAAGATGGCGACGGGTCTGGAGCGGCCGTGCCAGGAGACAGCGCGATCCTGAGAAGTGTGCGCTGTGATACCAGAGTACTAATTGCATTTCCAAGAGCAACAAAAAACGAATAATTCTTTCAACAACGATCCTACAACGACAAACAAGCAACAACAGGTTCGAGGTTTTAGGGCCAACACAAAAGAAGACTCCTGAGAGCGTCCAAGCCCTGCTGTGGGTACGAGCGAGCAGCCGAAGACAACAAAGGCCAAGTAAGCCAGCAGAGACGGCACAGAAACGGAGTGGAACGCGCCGACCGGCCCAACTCTGCGAGCTCTGTGAGTCACCCCCAGCCCAGCCCCACTTGCGGGGCGAAGCCCGACTGCTCCCCGCCCGCCCGCCTGGCTCCCGCCTACCACACCAGGCTAGG